ACTTTAGAAGGCCAGATCCTGAAGATGAAACTCAAATACTTTGGCCACCTAATGAGAAGGAAGGACTCCCTGGAGAAAAGCCTAATGCTGGGCACAATAGATGGCAAAAGAAGAAGGGGACAGCAGAGGATGAGGTGGTTAAATGGAGTCACTGAGGCAGTTGGTGTGAGCTTGAGTGGACTCCGGGAGATGGTGGAGGACAGGAAGGCCTGGAGGAATGTTGTCCATGGGGTCGTGATGGGTCGGACACGACTTCGCGACTAACAACAACAACGTTAAACTTCTCTGCATGTGGCATGGATTTGACTTCATATACTGTTCATGTATGCAAACAGTGATGTGTTGGCACTTGAAATGCAATCATGAGACTATTAATCTATGTTAGAAGCTGTCTGTGAGAAGCAGCTTCTCACAAGGCTTAAACTTCCAGGGTAGATCCCTGTCCATAGTACTCTGTTAAGAACAAAAAGTCCCTGCTTTTCAAATAACTATGTAGGCTTTCATTTTTTCTATTCTTTTCTAAAACACCATTGTAAGGAGACACCCAATGCTTTTCTGTGAACATTCTCTTTAATTCTATTATATCCATTGTCAAATTAGATTATATTCTTGTAATTTCAGCTAAACAGTTTACAAGTAGAAAATTACAATATTTGTGTTGGAAAATGTGCTGTTCTAAGGAAATAAAGAACTGTGATTTGAGCAGTTGGTAACACTGTGGTGTTTGAAAAATTGAGTTAAGTTCAGTTTGCCTTACCCAGAACCAATTTTCTATGAATTAAGGGACTAATCGTATGCATGCGTAAACATAAAGAAGTCCTACGGGTCCTAGGATGTCTCATGCTGGCTGGGGCATGTTGGCAGCATACGGCGGATCACTCCCTTGAACACACAGTAGTCAGGATCAATCACAAAACTTGAATAACAGTGAGGTCCCATGCAAGTCTTCTCAAAAGTATGTTCAGGAGCACAAGCTAAACTCATTTAATTAGCTACACTAGCAATGAGCTCAATCCAGACTCAATCATATTTGGAGTGGACCCATTGAAAGTATTGGTTAATAATATAGCTAATAACGATTAGTGTAATGGCCATTGATTCAGTGGGGCTGTTCTGACAGGGCTGAGTCTGGAGCCAACACAATATTACGAACTCTTGTACACATTCTTTTTCATTTGGATAAATGAAGAGATTAGGGAGTTTGGGGACTGAGAGTGGCATGACATCCAGCATGAAAAAAACTGATTCTGACAGCATTCCAGAGACCCAAAATCTGCCCGGTTGCATTGAGTAATAAATAAATATGTTATTGCAGTGTGTTTTCAAAAGCCAATGGTTTCCATTTTTTTCCTGGGCCTCTCTACAAACCAGATTGCGTCATGGACTACATTGCGATACACTTGGAGGTCCACATCATTAACCTTACTGTGTTGACATCTTGATTCCCTACCTACTTGAGAGAGAGAGAACAATAGTTGGGTTCTAAAGGACTGGCTGCCATATAAACCTGACTGGACCCTAAAATCATGTTCAGTGATCCTTTTGTGGCAGCTGCTGCCAAGGGAAGTCCAGTGGAGGCTCAGGAAAAAGAGAGCCTTTTCTGTTGTGGAAACCTGGGTGTGGAATGAACTTCCAAGAGGCTTGCCTGGCACCTGCACGAGACTCCTTGCTGCACCAAGTGAAGAGCATTATTTTCCAGGAATTTCCCCAGGAATTGTTTCAGTCCATTTGGAATCTTCCATTGTATTTCAAACCATTTACTATGGCTTAGGTCTTGCTTTCCTTCTCTTTTGCATTGTAGCTATAACCAATTATTATATTGTATTTTATGCTGTATTTTATGTTTTTTAAAATTGTTATGAACTGCCCAGAGAGCTCTGGCAACTGGGCAGTATAAAAATGTAATAAATAGCAAAAACTACTCACTGTTTAGCAATGTAATAAATAGCAAAAACTCTGTATGTGCTCAACAGCATTTATTTTGCTGCTAATTCCTACATTGCATTGCAGGGCCAATCCTCGGAACTTTAATTTTGACAATGTGGGGAATGCAATGTTGGCGTTGTTTGAAGTTCTTTCCTTGAAAGGATGGGTTGAAGTCAGGGATGTCATCATTCATCGTGTGGGACCAGTACGTATTTGTCTTTGCCAGATTTTCAATTCCTTTTTCAATGCTGAAAGAAGAAAAAATGTTAACCGTGCCTAAAAATATTTCCACAGATCCATGGCATCTATATTCATGTTTTTGTATTCCTGGGCTGTATGATTGGGCTGACCCTTTTTGTTGGAGTTGTCATTGCTAATTTCAATGAAAACAAGGTAACAAGTCTTTCTATTTTTTTAAACTGTTTATGCACCTTCTAAGTGTTGTCATGTAGCATCAGAAAAATATTGAAGGTCTGACCTAAGCTTGTGGTTACGAGTGGTTATGTGGTTTCCTCGTATGGAAAGGATGACCTCAAACATTTTCCATCAGCTTAGGCTGGCCCATTAGCTACATCTCTTCCATGTGATGTGCAACTGACCATTCTTAAGTGTGATCACAAGCTTTAACTGATCCAAAATGTGACATTAAGGTTTAACTGCAGTCAACCACATGATGTACATAACACCATTATCGCATCACATGCATTGGCTCCTTATTTGTTTTCAGGCTTGTTCAAGGTGGTAAAGTTAACCTTTAAAACCTGAAATGGGATCTTGTTACCTTACACTCCAACTTCCCTGCTAAGAGCCTGTTGACTCTTACATCATCATCTGATTACCTACCCTGCTTCCTCCTGCCTTCTGAGGGTAAAAACATAGGAATGGTCTTTCAGCTATTGCAAGCAAGCTCTGGAATTCCTTTCTGAGGAGTCTGCTAAGCTCCTAATGCATAATCAGTTTTGCAGATGCACACAGAAGGCTATAAGAGGTAGGCGTTGTGTTCTCAAATGGCCCTGTACAATACATGGATGCCAGGAGTCTGGGAGCTGCTCAGCCTAAGACAGGCAGTGCAGCTTCACAGTCCCTTTAAACACATGACGATCTTTTAAAAGTGTTAAAAGAACACACATGTATAAAAGGTTCGTGTGTTTTCTAAAAGTGTTGCAATAAATTTTTATTGCAGCCCATTTTTTGGCAGCCAAAGAATAAAAATGTCAGTATAAAGCCACTTACCCCATGCAATGTGCTGCAAATACTTTTATTTAAATAAGAATTTTATTATTGCTATTTTTGCTCATTTAGGGAACTGCTTTGCTGACCGTTGATCAAAGACGATGGGAAGATCTGAAAAGCAGACTGAAGATAGCACAACCGCTTCACCTTCCACCTCGCCCAGGTATCAGGGTCATTTCCCTTTGCTTCATCCTGAATGCTAAAGTTCATTATTCCTCAGATTTTATTATTAACACTCATGCAGTCACTAGGAAGTTTTGCATGTTAATGTGAAAATAGATTCCAATTATAAATCATTGCATATGAGCATCTATGTATATCAGTATTGTCCTTGTGATGTTCAGTATTTGAAATAACATGTTTAGAAGCAATGTTTACATTTTAGAATTGTCACAGAATATTATCAGGTTCATTTGAAAACTAGTCGAGATTTAAATGAATGAAGAAACAAAAGATTGATATGCTTTATTAACTGTTTGCTTTTAACTTTTTCCCAGATAATGATGGATTTCGAGCTAAGATGTATGACATCACTCAACACCCATTTTTTAAGAGAACCATCGCTGTGCTCGTTTTGGCTCAATCTGTATTGTTATCTGTTAAGGTATTGCATTGGGGTTGCAAATGTATTGCTGAGTGCATAAGACAGAAAAAAGAGTGAAACTGTTTTCTGTAGAGCCCGACAGGGCCATAGAGCCATGAGTGATTAGTGTAACTCATGATCAGCGTAACTCAGAGGAAAAAGCATTCAGGATATTTTTTAATGAAAGCTGAAGTGTTATAAAGTCCTCTTTCTTCTTTTACATAAGTGGGATGATCAGGATCCAGTGACTGGTCCTTTGGCTGCAATGTCTGTTGTCTTCACCTTCATTTTTGTTCTTGAGGTAAGGAAATATATTTAATAATTTTTGTAACTACTACCAAATTATCTTTGCTTCATAGATTTATAAATCGGTAGCTATGAGCCAGGCAGATCTTTTAATTTATAATGACTCCAAGAGAAATCAAACCTTTCTACCAAAAAAGGCATCCAAGGAGGCATAAACAGTTAAAATAGATTAAAACAATGCATTAAAATACAATAAAAACAGAACAGTTACATAAGAAATATTATTAAACCCAGTACACAACCCACCAGTCCCACGAACAAGCTAAAGTCCTTCTTCAACAAAGCAGTCTTTGCCTGCTGGTGGGAGGACAGCAAAGAGGGAGCAAAGCAAGCCGCTCTTGGGAAGGAGTTCCATAGCCTGGGAACAGGCACTGAAAAGCCCTCTTCTGAAGGTCTTCCCATAAGATTTTAGGAATCAGGTGAACTCATATGGCAGACGTTTATCTTTCAAGCAGAATGCATCAAAGTGTGTAGCTCTTTGGAATCTGCTCAGGAGACGTGTGTTTCCTGAAACTCGCAGCAATGAACAGCCTGGCTGTGGCATTCTGGGCCACCTGAGATTGCTGAACAGTTCATGAAGGCAGCCGCATGTGAAGGCATAACAATAGTCCACATGGATGTAAGTTAGGCATGTGTGCCTTGGCCAGATCAGGCGTCTCTATAAGCAGGCACAGATAGCACAGTGCCCTCAGCAGTGCAAAAGCATTCCTGCCCACTGCCAAGATCTGGGCATCCAGTTCAGGCCGGAGTCCAAGAGTACATCCACATGGTAAGCCTAAGTCTTTGCAGGCAGCATGATCCCATCTGGCACAGGTTGATCTGCCTTGCCACTGACCAAAAGCACTTCTGACTCGCCTGGATCAGACTTTTCAAAGGAGTGGCAGCCATTTCTGGCCTGGATTCAGGATTTGTAATAATATTTATCATTCCTCCTTCTCACTGCCAGATGAGATGAAGGCTGAAAGACAGTGGCTCACCCAAGAGTCTATAGCAGAAACCTGAATGTAGAAACTTCTGGTAGCTCTAGCTCTTAGAATTTAACTAAATTAGACGCAGAGTGGAAACACCTTGCTTTTTTTTTGGAAAAGAATCCAGGGTGGGGTGGGAGGGTCATCAGGCCAGAGCATAATACTACCATGTTGACACTAAGCAGGCCTGGGGCTGGCCGGAGCTTGGAAGGGAGACCACCTGGAAACCACATGTAGACACCTTGAGTTCCACATTGGGAGAAAGATGGGATACAAATATAATATATAATGAAGGAGATTAGATCATTTGCCTCCATATTGCTTCCCCAGTCAAAGTCACACACATCCAAAGCTGCCATTAACCACACATAGAGAAAAAATGGGCTTAAACTGTTCCTTCCAGCTACAGGGGAAATGATTTGGACTGAGGGCAAGGCACAGGGGCCAAAATCCATCCATTGCTCTAAACAGGAAAAACTCTTGTCACAGTCCTATGTCAGATCAGATGCAATATTGATGGGTGGGAAAACAAAATGTCCACAATGGAACTAATTTAAATGGTGGTGTGCAGCAAGAGGAGAATGTTCTGTCGATGTCTTGGGGTTCTTTGTTCTTAAAAGAAAGGGAAGTACATTATGAACAAGCCACCTGCTTTTTATCCACAGAGTGTTTTGGCTTGAAAATAAGTTTAGATAGATTGATGAAGCAAAGTACTAAAACAGATGGAAGTCCTTTTCTGCATTAGCAATTGTGGCCAAAAAGTTGAGCGTGAGCACTGAATTGGCAAATGTTGAATTGCTTCCTTCTGATACTCAGCTTGGTGCTGAGTATCAAATTAAATATACTTTATAATCTCATCAGATGTATATTTATTTTCCAGTACTCCCAGCTGGAATACTAACGAAATGCTTCTGCATGTGTTTGTGTGGCCTGTTACCTTTGCGTATTAACAAATGGTGTCTCAGAGAGAAATTACATCATTTACATTTATTTCCTTTTAGGTAACCATGAAAATTATTGCTATGTCACCTGCTGGATTTTGGCAGAGCAGAAGAAATCGCTATGATCTTTTGGTGACATCCTTAGGTGTCATATGGGTGATACTTCACTTTGCCATAACTGTAAGTACCAACTGCATTTTCAGCCTTTGAGCATGTCTTCAGAGCAAGCCATATGGGAGTTCTGTGAAGGGTGCAAAAAAGGAGAAATTAGTGCAGCCTGAGGATAATGACGCTAGGTTCTATCATGGCCTTGGCATTACAGTTGTCAGTCTCCCAGATGTTGACCTTCATGCATTGAACCCCATTTCAAATTCTGTAAGTATAGTCAGTGGAGCTGAGTGATCACAGGAGCTCTGAGGAGTGTTCCAGTGAATACACTTACAAGACCCTTTACTGGTCTCAGTGTGAAAGGTCTAACAGTGGGTATGTCTAGGGCAGGGGTGGGGTGGGTGCTCATGTTTCCCTCCACACTTGTGCCCTACATATGAGCAGGCAAATGCATGCATAAGGCTTACGCCACTGGTGTTCTGGTATTCACTGAAACAGAAAACTATTCAGCTTCATGGTCACATGAATCGGCCCCACTATGGGCCAACTGGGTGACTGAATAGGCTCATGCAGTTTCTGTTCACGCCTGCTCAGCCATTTAAAATGAGTTTTACAGGAAAATAGTGTTTGCAGTTGCTATAACTTAGTGATGCACAAACTCATAGCAGGCTATCCACCAAAAGCTGTTACCCATGGTAGCCATATGGAATCTCCGTGTTCAGAAGAACAATGCTTCTGAATAACAGATGATGAGGACAAACAGTGTGGTAGGATTCCAGTATCCTTGCCTTCCTTGTGGGCTTCCTGGAAACATTTGACTGACCATACTTGGAAACAAGGCACTCAGCTAAATGGGGTTTTGCTTTGTAGCAGTAGCACTGTTCTTATAGCAGGACTGGGGATCCTTTGACCCTCTAGAAACTCGTCAGATGTGCAAAGATGCTGTTCCAACACTCATTATCCCTGATCATTGTCTAGTCTTTTGTTGTTAGGCTATTGCTACCATGCAAGAATGAGCCCTGAATAATGAAATGGCAACTCTAGTTATATCTAGAAGTCATTAGGATCTAGACTAAGTTGCTCTTTAAGAAGCAATACTAAGCAAAGCCGACACTTGTGTTTTGGTTCCAGAATGCCTACACCTATATGATGGGAGCATGTGTAATTGTTTTCAGATTTTTCTCTATCTGTGGGAAGCATGTGAGTATAATGAAGATTTCTTTTAACACTGCATGAATATTGAGTAAAGGTGTTGGTTGGAAAACATTTTAATTTTTTTGGCCACTGGCACCTACCTCTTTTGGGACTGGATCAGTCACTCTCTAGGTCAGAGAAGTCAAACTTTTCCTACCTTGAGGACTTCACAACACAGTACCCAGGGGCTGCACAATGAATTACATTTCCATATCATAAGTTAAAGTGTTCTCAATATATTTATTTAATTTTACATAGACAATTAATATAGCTTCTGGTATCTGCTGGTAAATAAAACAGAGATCACAACCCAAGCACCATGACTACTCCTCTGGGGTGGCCCATCCCTTTCTTCCCTGTTTCTTCCATCCAGAAACCCGCCCATGTGCCCCTCCCGCCAGCTCCTCCTTCCTCTTGGAACTGGCATGCTGAGCCTCCCCTGCATGCCCCACCTGGTCCTGCTGCTGAGCTCAAGGCATTCAGCTGGCAGCCTTGGGAGAGCTCACCACGATCATGCCCGCACCGTCACAGGAATACAGACTGAGGGTGGGACAGCATGTCGCCCATGGGCCGTGTGTTGGGCCATCCCAACGTAGGTCATTGTACCATCGCAGTGCTACCAGAAAAACCCTCATTGGTACCTGGTCACAGCAACTTATTTATTATATTTTTATCCTCCCCATAACAAACGTTCTCCAGCTGGATTAAAATCCAATAAACACAGTTAAAAAAATTAAATACAATGAAAATATTTTAAAGAGAAATACAATACAGCTGCATAAAGGCCTAATGAGTTGTGTTCCCAGAGCATTCCTCTCCCTGAAAGCCTTGTTGAGTTGACACTGGCTACTATGCTTGGATAAAGTGCTAAATCGATCCATCAGCCTTATCCCAGGCACTGATCCTTTGTACCTCCACCTCAGTGTCAGATCCTTCCACACTGGGCAGTCTTGGTTCCAGTCTCCTTGTTCCTGATCATCTTGGGGAATCCCTCTCTGATCCAGGAGGACAGCTGCAGTTTCTGCGTTAAACACCATACATCTAACACCATTATTGTTGAACCTGCTCAGAATAAATCACACCAGAGGATAAACCTGCTCAGAATAAATCACACTACTGAGGAACAAAAGCTTGACCTCTGCTCCATGGCTATTTGATTGAGTACATTGCAAATGACCAAGAGTGCATGTCAAGGTACCAGCAATTCTTTAAAAGTTGTCTTTTGACATCTCCCAATCAATACAGAGGTAGAGTCGTTAATCTGATGACTTCATGTCTTGTACAAATACTGTCTAGGTAACTGTACCACAGCAAATCCCCTTCACTGTGCTACTGAGACCACTGTCACTGAATACAGGTCACAGCATTTATTTATTCATTACATTTTCATGCATCCCATAATAAATATTTTCCGGGTGTGTTACAGCCAGACATACAATCTCTTGCAAATCAAAAGCAATAGTAAGTCCAACAGCTGTTTACACACAAACCTTTTATTTACACACAAGCCTCCTTTTATTTCTACAACCATTGGAACATATCCACCCAACCCTAGAGATCTAATGAGCACCAAGAAGCAGTTCATATGGGAGGGCAAATATATGATTAGAACTACCCAGTCAATGCATTGGCGACTGGCTTCTAGTACTACTCACTTGCATTACTATTTTGCTCCACATGTGTTATATCAATCATTCTTTATACCTTTCCAGGTAACCCTGAAGATGCTATTGCTGACAGTGGTTGTAAGCATGTACAAGAGCTTTTTCATCATAGTAGGGATGTTCTTACTGTTGCTTTGCTATGCTTTTGCTGGAGTGGTTTTATTTGGCACCGTGAAATATGGAGAGAACATCAACAGGTATGCTATTTTTTTTTTTACTCCATCAAAAGTAATTGGTATTGTGGTTTTACTGTGGTAGATCTAGAATGTAGTGCTTAGGTTTGCCAGAAATTAGGACCTCTGCCAAGTGTCAGATGCCATGGTTGTACAGTAGAGTTACAAACACACAAAATGCTGCTGTGTTACATTCAGTTGTACGCAAGGCCAAGGAGAGGAACAGATACAGTGCTGTGTAGTAGTTAAAAGTGTGAGACTGGGTCTCAGGAGACCTGGGTTCTAGTCCCCACTCAGTCATGGAGCTTACTGGGTGCCTTTGGGCCAGTTCCAGACTTTCCGCCCAAGTTACCTCCCAAGTTTTTTTGTCAGGAGGATAAAATTGAGAAGGGGAGGTGAACTGAGTTAAGGCAGGTTATAAATATAGTAAATAAATAAACAAAGAGGACGTTTAAACTGGCATCTCATTATAGATCATGATCAGCACACTTTGCTATCTTCATGCCTAGAACTAGTCTGGGATGTGAAGGAGCAGGGAAGATTGACCCCCTTAAAGTTTCTACACCAGATTGTCCTCATGAAATATTGAATAAGATTTTTTTTTGTTTGTTTGTTTAAAACAGGCATGCCAACTTTTCATCAGCTGGTAAGGCCATTACTGTGCTCTTCAGAATAGTCACTGGGGAAGACTGGAACAAGATAATGCATGACTGCATGGTAAATTGAACACAGTTTTAAAATAGACATAATGCTGAGGCTACGCCACATCTAATGCCCTAGCTTCAGGTTTTAACAGTACTGTGGGTTAAACAAAAATGATATTCTTCACGCAGGCACTCATTTGTTCTTTCTCTAAATGGATTGTATGAATAAACCAGAAAGTACTGAAGTGGAGGATGTGGGTAGAGAAGGGGAAACCATGCAAGAGAACAGTTTCCCATCTTACAAAATACGCTGCTAGCTAATAAACATTAATAAATATTGTTCTCCTTTGCATTTAGTACTGGATCTGTTGGAGTAGTACATGCTGAAACACTGTATAATGCTCTGTTAATTAATATTACACACATTTGAGATATGTGTAATATTAGCTAACTGAACTAGAACAACTTTCTTCCCTGACTCCCTTTTCATAACAATTCTAACCAAACTATGTGCAAATGATCTGCAAATCAAGGTGACTCCAAGAATTTCTACCCCGTCTCAATCGCCACATTGTCCATGGTGGTGTTTATAACAAATGCTGAACGTGTTTGGACCTTCTTTAAGGGGAAAAGACCACTAAATTAGGATATGTTCGGTGTGTATAAAACTTATCAGTAGTGTGGAGTGGATGGATGAGACTGGTAGATAGATAGAATTTCCCCATCTCTAATCTATGGAATGCGCTCCCCAGAGAGGTCCTCCTGGTGCCGTCGTTATTTGTTTTTCGACGCCAGGCAAAGACCTTTTTATTCAAACGTTATTTTAATTGTTAATATTATTTATTTATTTTATACTTTGGCCAGGGCAACTTAATTTATATTGTTTTATAGAATGTTATTTATTTATGTTTGTGAGCCACCCCGAGGCTTCGGCAAATGGGGCGGCATAGAAGTTCCCTAAATAAATAAATAAATAAATAAATAGCACTAAGAGGATAGCCCAGTAAAATTGATTAACAGTAAGATGATGGCAATTGGCTACCCAATCACACCACACCTGCAGTCCTCCTCAGTGGAGTTTAGTGGGGGACAAGGAGGAGTGGGCAAGGATTGAGAAATCTATATACCACATCAGTGCACCTCTTTTTCCATTAAAAATGGAGCTCAATACCTCTCTTTTGAAATGGCTGGGACAAATCTATCTTCTGAAAAACATGGGTTGCCTCTGCTGCATTTCATTTTACCCTTATTCTTGTCCTGGCATTCACATCAGAACATTGTTAACTATTGCTGCTCTTGATGTCATGTTAATAATGCCACTGTTGTTCTCAGTGGGATATATTTTTAAGTGTACGCATGTGTATATGTTGGGTTAGTGGCAAATCAGCATTCCTATGGCTCTGAATTCATTCATTATTTTCTTCTGAAGGTTCAGCCTCCTTTTTGTACTCCGGATAACAGCACATACTGGAAGACAGATTGTGGGAATTATGCTGGTGCTCTCATGTATTTCTGCTCCTTTTATGTCATCATTGCATACATAATGCTAAATTTGCTTGTGGGTAAGTCTCTGTCACAGAATTTGATAATAGAAATATGCATTATACATTTCAACGATAGTATGAGTTGGCTCTAGACTTAATTATACTTAAACTAGATTCACTGAAATCAATGAGACTCAAATTAATCATGATTTTAATGCATCTACTCAAACCCTGACTGCATTGGGATCCAACTCTAGATAGATATTATTTTATTTGTTCCCCTATAGCTCGAAAAGTTGCTCATAACACAGAATCTCACTCGCGCGCACGTGTGTGTGTGTGTAAATTGAAATAGCAATGAATCACCAAAGCATCATATAACTGGAACAGTCAAAGAGTAAAAGACAGTCAGTTTCAGAATCCAACCAAAACCATCAAAACAAGCCAACTGACTCAGCAGGAGTTTTAGAAGCCTTCTAAACAACTGGTTTGGTGGCCTCCTGGAAATTAATCCCATAGGAAGACACCACCACAAAAAGCCCCACAGCTTGCAAGTATCAACCTGGCCCTCAGAAGGAAAATATAAGTGGTGCAAGGCCTCAGTTTGGGATCTTAGTATATGGAACAGAATTCAGTTCAGAGAAAGTACTCCTGAAAGAATGTCAGCTCACACAGTTTTGGAATGCTGTCTAGAAAATAATTGTTATTGTTATAGGATGATATTGATGCCATTTTGAATGTGCAGGACTTCAGTCCTAAAAAAAATATTAAAAGTTTGCTCTTTGTTCAATAGTATAGGTTCAGATATATTTCAGTAAGAAAGTTGTTTAGTAAATGGGAATAATTCCTACTGTGCGTATGAACTGAATGTACTGATAAGCTTGCTTTCTAATTAGGCTCTCTCAATTTTCCTGAAGTCAATCTATTTCCAGACTTCAGACTGAAACACTGCATTGTACAATACTGGATATTACTACCTAAAGTGCACATATATTGCATATATTGAACATCTTATTAACTCTGTTATTGTTTTATGTTGGAATTTTGCATATTTGTACACTTTTGCCAGCCATATAAATCCAAGTGAATATTCATTCTTTAATTAACAATATTAATATTAATACATATGCATTTGAAAGCTCTTAAATGTTGTTCAATGTTTTTGTTTCCTGTAGCCATAATTGTGGAAAATTTCTCACTGTTTTATTCCACGGAAGAAGATCAGCTCCTAAGCTATAATGATCTTAGACATTTTCAAATTATATGGAACATGGTTGATGACAAAAGGGAGGTAAGATGTTTTGCTGTAATTTTACCAGTTTCGTTCAGTTGTTGCTCTCTGAATTAACTGCTAGTAAGGAAAAGTGACTGCCATGTTCATTAAGGGAACTGAATGGAAGCTCCCATTTTCTATATAGGGGAAGAGCAAAGGTGTCTTCCAACATCAGTTCCTTTTTGTTTGTAGGCACAATTATTTTTGCACTTTAGAAGCATGAATGACCTTGCACTGACCTTTGTAGAGAAAGGAGTGCCTGCATGCATCCATGTTGCTGTAGTATGGAGTTTTAGGAGTGATCTGTAGTCACCGAGAGCTCTTCACAAGACTAACAAGTTGTCTTTCTTCCCAGGGTGTGATTCCTACTTTCCGAGTCAAGTTTTTGCTGAGGTTGCTGCGTGGGAGATTGGAAGTGGACCTGGATAAGGACAAACTTTTGTTCAAACATATGTGCTATGAAATGGAAAGACTGCATAATGGTGGAGATGTAACCTTCCACGACGTTCTGAGGTATAGTGGACGCAGTATAGTGGATGCACGCCATGGCTGCAAACCCTGCCTGCCCTCCTGGGGCAAGCTGGACATACCTCTGTGACCAGGCATGTCCAGGAGGGATCCCAACATTTTGCCCACAGATGCCAGAGTACTTCTGTGGTTGCTTCCAATGGTGCCCATTAAGGGGTCCCCATGAAGGAGTACCTGCAAATTTCACCCCCTTTTTAATATATGAACATGGATTTATATACACTCTGTGGGAGGTCCCCGGTTATGGTATGTGCTCCCCAGAGAGGTTCGCCTGGTGAACTTTCTTTTTGGTGGCAGGCTAAAATCTTTTTATTTTCCCATTATTTTAAGGTTAGGCTAGGTTTTAATGTGGGTTTTATTTTACTGGAATTATTCAGATGCCGTGCTTCATTTCATTTTATTCTGTTTTTATTGTAAGACCACCCCAAGACTTTAGTAGTTGGATGGTATACAAAAGCTTTAAATAAATAAAATAAATATACTCATAGCAATAAAGATGTGAAATGTGTTCAGTTTTCTAGCACATCTACATAGGCTTCAACAAAAGTGGACCAAATATCCAAATAAATACTTATTTAAACATGGAATCTGGATGCCACATATTTAAATACTGAAAGTGTTACATTTTACATTACATTTTATGTTTATGCTACCCACGTTGTGATATTAGTCTTTTAGCTGTTTGAAGGGCACACAGAATCCATTCACTCTATTAATTTCCATGAAGCAGATAATAATTTAAAACAGTATGTATATCAGTGACTATTAAAGGATGTTCCCATACAAAATGTTTCCATATAACATCTTGCCCAACAGAAGCAATTACTGGACCCTGCCAAAATATTTGGTTAAAGGAAGCATCAGCTGTACTGTAGTGCCAGTCAAATTAGATAATCCTTTATTAGAGAGATGTTGCTACATCCAGTAAATACAAAGCAAAGGTTTTTGCTGAATAAGACACAGCCTAAGATACATCAGCTGGATGCCAGCACTGGTGATGTACTGATTTGACATTTTGTGGTGTTGCCAATGGCAGTTTCAAATTCCCAGATGTGCCACTGGGTCCAAAATGACTGGGAACCCTTGATGTAAAGAATCAGTTAGGTTCTATTGCAAATATGGCACAGAAAACAGAATAGCAATATATACGTGGTTATAGGGATTCTAGATAATGTTTATTTAGAGACATTTGAGCCACTTTTCCTAATATACAAATGTCAAAAGAGGGCCAAGTCTCACTATCATATGCATATCAGTGAAGAAAAAGGCTTTATGCAGGAACATCACGTTTGCTGCTGTATTTTTAATGGGAGTTGTAATCCGTGGTGTGGTGGAGCTGGGGCTCACAGGGTCAAAGCACCATGACTGCTTGATCAGCAGGGACAATGGTGCAATCTGTTCCCCCACACCGTCTTCCATGTTCCCGCTACGTTTAGCTGCAATCTTCATAGTAGCTGAACTGGAAAAGGATTTGTGAGCTACCCTTGTTGTAATGCGAAGTATTTTGGGGTGGCTTGGTCCTGAAAGGATAATTAACACTCAGTAGCACTCCAAAAGGCCTCTCACTCTGTCTCCCTCTCTCTGTCACAGATGCACACACAGACACACATCTATATGGCCACCCACATTTAGGGGTCTGTCTGTGGGGTTATGGCAATGTCAACTGTCATGAGGAGCACTTGTAGTTCAGCATGCCACTGGGAGTAACCAGATCCAGTCCTTCCTCTCATTGCCCTCCTAAAAGCCAGTTGGAACTGTCAGGGCTATCAGCACCGATCGCATCTTACCCCAGTCTCTGATGACCAGTTGCTGCAGAGCAACAGCAGAAGAGGCCGGCCATGGCCCCATGGGGCCTCCGGTCACCTACTGTGGGAAGCAAGATACTGGATTAAGCCACCCTCTGAAAAACCCCCACACAAAACATGGATGGGTTCCCCCACATTTTGCACTAACAGTCAAATATGTTCGTGCAGAAAACCCTGTCAGGGCTGGTGCTATAATTCACGTTTCATTTATAGTTGCCAGAGGGTCTCAGGATCAACCCTTTATTCCAAAGGAAGGGTATTGCTTTATACAGGATTGATTTCCTCTTATCAGTAACACTGGAGAATAACAATACATCTGTATTCGCGTATTTTTCTTCTAGCATGCTCTCCTATAGATCCGTTGACATCAGAAAAAGCCTTCAGCTGGAAGAACTGCTCGCTAGGGAACAACTGGAGTACACCATAGAAGAAGAAGTCGCCAAACAGACCATACGCATGTGGTTGAAAAAGTGTTTGAAACGCATTAGAGCAGTAAGTTTAATGAGGGTAAAATAAAAACCCATTTGTTTATTTATTTTGTTATATTTAATGTTATATTTACCTTTATTATTTATCAGTATTTATTATCATATATTTATTTATTACATACATTTATACCCCATCCTATCGCTTCAAGCACTCAGGACAGCTTACAAGTTATATAAAATACAATAAATATAAAACTACTATATAATATATATTTATTATTTATACTAATTTATATTTTATTTATTTCCCCTAACCTACATCACAGGGTTGTTGTGAGGATTAAATGGGAGGGGTGGAGGTTCTGTAAGGAGGTCCTGGCTCCTTGCAGAGAAAAAGGCAGGATATAAATATAATGAATATAATAGAATTTATATTTATTAATTTGATTTATACACACCAGTGTGGTATTAGAGGATTAGGACTTGGGACAGCTGTGTGCAAATGTGATTGGACATGGTGCTGTATGTAATCATATAAGCAAGGAATTGCAAGATAGCGAGAGGAGAGGGCATTGATTGGTGATGGACCACGTTTTGGAAGATAGCTTAGCTTCTGAAAACCTCCAAGCTTTGGATCAACTCGTAATGGCTTGCTACAAACTCTCTATCTTTGCCACCTTGGCCCCTTCTCAGATCAACCAAGCTGCAAGGCAGGTAAAAAAGGAAGTGAGTATCAGAGAAGACGGTTGAAAGCAAATCTGCGCATGGGCCCGGTCTGTCCAGAAGGCTTCTGAGCAGGCTTGCAGCCTCTAAGCACGGCAGCTCTGCTGATTCCTCCAGACTGCTGTTGTTGTCATAATTATAATTATAGCAATTACTATTATTTTATCCCGTCAGGGGTTCAGGGTCTCTCCTTCCTCAAAACAGCTCTGAAAAGGGAGGCAGTCCTCGACCATGCCACCTCTCTGATAAGAGAACACAGACTAGGAAATACGGATTAGAGCTGCAGTTCTCAAGCTTTCTTCCCTACCAGGCCTGCTTGAGTGTGCTCAAAATGGGGGTTTGGTGTTATCATCAGGCAATGGCTGACTCAGCCCCCCACTCCCCCCCCCCACAACTCGCTGCCGCCACTTTCAGGAAGAATTTCCTGAGCTAGAGGCTCTAGGTTTCTAACCCATCCGCTCACAGAGACCTTTCTTGGTACACACACAAAGATTTCTGAAAAAGTATAGAAAAGTCCTCTTGCCCCTTTCCTGTTTTTTGTCCTGTTCATCATCCACACTTAACATCATTCACCTTTTCTCAGCCACCAGTCTCTTTCATCCCCATTTTTTGAAAGTTTTGCATTCACTTCTTCCTATAATAGCTTCCTTCTCTTTTTCCTTTCCTGGGTATACCATGTTGTTAAAAATGTTCGCCTTGCTTACTGTCCACCCCCCACTGCCACCCCGGCCTGTGCAGCGTGCATGGGGCGGCCATGGCCTGAGGTAGTCAGGAAAGAGGTTCTGGGCAGCCTGCAGCACGGACACCCACTGAAAGAAAGTGGGCTGAGAGAGTTGGATTAGAGTAATGGCCTAGATTTTCATTCCCTGAAACCAGAACTGGTCCATTTTTATGCTGCAGGTAAAGGGGAAGAATTTCTTTCAACAAATTTCTAGTTTGGGGTTTTATTTGTTTTATTCTGCTGTTATGTAGAGGTGTGAATCACTAAGGGATTTAAAAAATATGTTAAGCAGTACAGATACATTATAATTAATTAATTAATATATGACATATAACTGTAGAAAACTTCATCTTTCCAGATAATATGTAAGATGTTTAGACTGTTGATAGACATCTCTTTTGATTGATTGATTGATTGATTGATTGATTGATTAAAAGCTTTTCTACCCCATCCATCACTACTGTCTTGGGACAGCTTACAATAAAACAAAACACCATGGCATTGATTCAATAGCATTGATACATAAAAATGTCACAAGATGAAAAATCACACTTGATCATTTGCTAACAGTTTCCATATTGTTAATCTTAATTAATTTAATGATCACTGAAAGCAATTTATTGTAATAGCCTCTGGATGAGCACTATAAAAGATTCATTCTTTTACCTGACTGGTTCCTTTAAATGACTCTTTGGATTGTGGCATGAGGCAGACTGAAATAGAATTAAATGGTATATATTGTTTTATGAATATAAAACACAGGGAAATCCACTGTGGCAGTCACAAAATGCAGCGAATATAGAACAAAGAAAACCAGAGCAAACCCCACATTTTGAGAAGTACATTTAAACAGCATGTATTACCTACTCTCTTGTATTTTATAGAAACAGCAGCAGTCTTGCAGCATTATCCATAGCCTGCGAGAGAGTCAACAGCAAGAGCTGAGCCGCTTCCTAAATCCACCAAGCATTGAGACCACACAACCAAGTGAAGATATGAATGCTAATAACCAGGATAACAGCACACAGCCTGAGGTATTTTTGGTTCAACTAGTTATTCCCAGAATGTTGGTTGTAAGCCAGTGGCCTGGAAGGACTCTTCATAATGGTCCTTCTGCAGACTCATATAGAAGGAAACAAGTGCCTATGCACAGCATGTCATAATGTTCCAGATACAGTGCTAGACACATTCAGGTCCAGGTCCAGGGCTTCAATCGAAGGGCAGAACCCCCACACCTTCCCTCTCCATACTTCTTCTGCTGCTACAGCACCAGTATTGGGAAGAGTAATCTTGGTCTCCTCAATCAAGCATATAGGTTTCTTCTTCTCAGTGTTATTTTCTTCTTCTGTGTTTTGATTCTTCTTTTCCATGTATTTTGCATGTTTTCATTCAATGAGGAGATAAGTCTCATGTTCCACCCACAAGAACACTGGAAGCTGCCTTATCCTGACACAGACCGTGGGTTCATCCAGTTCAGTATTGCTGACACTGACTTGCAGTGGTCCTCCAGGTTCCAGACAATGGTGGTGGGTGGGAGGGGGGATTTATGCTTTCCCAGCCCTAGCTGAAGATACTGGAGATCAAACCCAGAACCTTCTCCGCAGTGAAAGCATGTCTCCTATCCCTAAGCCATAGCAATTCCATGTGAAATATGACAGTGTTAGACTAGCATCAGGTCCAACTAGTCTTTACTGCACCAGCTGGATATGCAAATGATGAAGCCTCCAACCTTTTGTGTTCCACAATAAATGATCCAAAAAGCTTTCCAGCATCGGTTAATATAATCTTCCTAATGAAGTATAACCAACAAAATAAAGGTCAACAACACAATAGCATTGTTGGTTCAATTTTCTGTTTGCAAGTTTCAAATATGATGAACTTAAAGGTACATTAATGTTCCTCTCTGTCCTTGGTCTGTTTAGACAAGTAGTCAACAGCAGCTCCTTAGTCCAACACTTTCTGATAGAGGTGGATATCGACAAGATTCTACTGAAGCTGGCAAACCCCAGCGAAAGTTTGGACAGTGGCGTTTGCCCTCAGGTAGGTGAAGATTATCATGAAAGAATGAATTCCAAATGAGTTTGTCAAATGAAACATTCAGCAAATCCACAAAAGGGTGTGGGAGCGTGCACTCCAACGAAAAAGGAGATGAGCAGCTTCTCCCCTCCTGTTCCGTTTCTTCCCCACTGAAGTGGCTTACTGCAGAGGTGGGCGGAAAGCAGATCTCTAGTTGTCTTGAACTTTAGTTCTCAGCAATCTTGACCATTAGCTATACTGGCAGGGGTTCTGGAATTTGAAGTCTAAAAATTCTAGATATCTACCTTCTGCCTACCTCAAGATTACAAGCAGCATGATCTCAGAGAACAGCTTCTACATCCACTGGGCTGTGGAACAATGATCACCATTGATAAGACCACTAACCATGAGAGAGAAATCTGGATCACTTTCTTGATCCAACTGAGGTTTCAAATTCTGTAAGGCCTATCTGGTACCCCACGCATACTGGAAGAATGTCCCTTTTGACTGCATTTCCTCAGAAGATATGGCTGTCCACCAGTGTTCTCACTGAGAACACTCCTAGGAACACAGTTTGAAAAGATCTCAGCAATAGAAACAGGCTCCCCAATAAGTGTATAGAATGACTATAGTATCACAACAATGAAAGGGACCAAATGGCTACTCTACACTTCATCCCTCAAGACTGACCATCTACCACTAAAACCCAAACAATTCAGTTCTTAATTTAGTATAATTTTGAGAAGAGAGCGAGCTAAATCACTTGTTACAGGAAACTAAGGGCAAGAAACTGGAAGGTTTTTCAGATTAAAGTGGAAGCAGGGGAGGAGGTTGAGGGAAAAGGTTGTGGAGACCAAAGGTGTGAACCAAAGTAATCCACAAAGACACACAGAGGGAAAGGGGAACAGCTAAGTACATAAAAGCAAGCCCTCCCACACTGTAGCATCATCCTGATGAAGTGCCCAGATAGACATTCATTGGAATAAATTATTGAATAAAATGTGTTTAAAAATAGTGGTATTCTAAGCATTTAATTATCCAACTAAAGGGTCACATATTGAAAGGAGTAGCTATTTAAGATAATGTTCTGCAGACATCTGGAAATGACGGACTTCACTACATATGTGCTTCATGCCTTTGAAGCCAATAATTTCTTAGTCTAAGTGAAATGTGAACTACAGTGCTGTACTAGATACCTAGAATATTCAGCCCAACTGATGGTAAAGGGGACGAAACTACATGGTTTGGATGACTTAAGTAGTCCGGTTCAGTCTTGGGGCATTTTCACACATGTAGCACTAGAGCTGATGCTTTGTGCGTATTTCCACATTTGGAACACATATGTAAAACCTCTGTCGGCTGGAATATATTTAAGATTTAAAAGATGCTTTCATCTTCCTGTATTAACAATATTAAATGCAATGTACATGCACTTACAGCACAACACAGTGTAATCTCTGAAAGTCTCAAAGGCATTATTACTGCTTACAAAATTTTAGGGTGTCAAAAAACACCCTTGTTATTATATATAGAAGAGGAAGGGGACAATCCTATAGCCTGACACCTGGCCTTTGACAGACTGTGAAAAATAGAAGGGCTGTTCTACTGGAAGAAGACAGCCCTGGAAGCACCTGATGTGCCAGTGGAAAGATCTGTAGGCATAGACGTACCACCGATAGTGTTTTGGTGGCAGTAGGATAGAAAGAAGAGTTCCAAGATGCATTGAGGGGCAGGATAGGAGAGGCCTTGGAGCTTTAGGACCCAAAGCTTCCTTGTGTCCCTGACACAGACACAGACACAAGTCCTAGAGCTGGAGTTGCAGTATTCCTTCCCTGCCCTACATCCGTGGGAGAGACAACATTATTAAAAACAGAACATGGGGAAAGAAGAGAGCAAACCTCCAACCCCCATTCTTCCCTGACTAGTGTGACCAAGCAGGGTTAAGGAAGTGGCAGTTCCTCCACTATAGTGTCTTCCCACCAGCAACCTGACATAGGATTACTCTGCTTGACAGTCATTGAGAGAAGCGCATTTGCAGCAGTAACTAATGCTCTGTTTAATTTCCTAGCCCCAAAGCCAATAAGCCATTCAGTGTCTTCAGTCAATTTACGGTTGGGTGGCCGTGCAACTATGAAATCTGTTGTGTGCAAGATGAATCCCATGTCCGATGTGACTTCTTGTGGATCAGAAGTCAAGAAATGGTGGACACGGCAACTCACTGTGGAGAGTGACGAGAGTGGAGAGGACCTGCTTGATATCTGAGTGAGACAAGATGCCAGTTGATGTCAACTGTTATGCAACATACCTATGAAATAGAATAAATTTTTCTGGGTTTTTAAATTGCTGCTCTGGCTGACCATTTATATGAAGATAAGCCTTTGAATTCAGTGACTATCAACATGATTTACTAATTATTTTGAACTGGGCCATATGATGATAGTAATGTAATGAAAAAACAACAGCAACAAGTAATTATAATCCACATTAAAAGTGGAGGGCCTTTGTCCTCAGCCCCAAGCATCAGGAGCTTGCAGCAGGCTTTTCAGGGTTCTTTTGTTCTTCCACGGCCTCTCCACATCACATCCCAGGCTTCTTTTTCCATTAGGGAGATCTTTAGTTCCATGTTGATTGCAAAAAACAAAAATGCCATTTATGATTGATGTTTAAAGAAACGGCATGTGCCAGTTATTCCAAAATTTTCTACAATTCTAAAATTGAGAGCAGGTCACACCATGACTTTATATACACTGTGTTGGGAGATACTTGCCATGGAAATGAAAATACCCAAACGAAAATACTTCTACAGAAATGCTGTCAGTGTTAGTACTTGGAAGCTTTTTATATAGACAGACAGATATGATTTATACATGTTTCCTGTAGTTTTACACATGTTCTTGTTTATGGATGCAAATTTGGTTAATTTGCTGTCTTAATCCTGTGTTATTTTTACACACACACACACACAAATATGAATTAAAGAAGAAAGCAGTTTGTAATACAGCAAAGTAGTTGCTACTGGGGAGGAAATATGAATCCTCAATGGAATATATTCAAACCCTCTTTTGTCACTTAAATGTTTTTAAGAGGTTTCACAGAATTGATTTATAACCAGTGCTCATGCAAAGGTATTGTCGCTATGTCTACCTCAATCAACATTTATTTTACCTGGAAAAAAACTACTACATAGATTATAAGAAAATTACACTTTTTTCATCCTTTGGTCCTCTGTCTATACAGTACTAGAACTAATGAAGCTGCAGCTCAACAGGGTATTTATTATTTTAAGTCAAAGGATTTTTTACATGTGTTTCAACTTTTCATTGCAAATACCTACCTTCTCATTTTAATATATGGAATATAGGGTGGCTTGTTAAAAATATCAGCAAAGAATTCATTTTAATTATTAATGCAAAGACCTGAATTATGCTGCATAGATTTCCTGCTTGTATTCCTGCTGAATCAGTTCTAGCACCACCATCTCTCCCAATATTAGTCACTTGTTATAGTTGGACTAGGAAATCAGACACTTAGATTTGATTCTTCCTTCCTTCCCCAGAGCAACTTCTACATAAATGTTCAACACTGGCAGAGTTATAGTTTAATGACTATCCTTGGCCTGATCTAGCAAGGGCCCCCATATATATTCCGCATATGCCAGGGCCTCTGCTGTGGCATGCCCTTCTGGCACACAGAGCAACCTAAAAAGGCAATCTGCTCACAGAGTTGTGCTTCATCACCTTTGAGAAAATGAACATCTTTCATTAAAAAGACTGACGAACTTTATAATTTAGATAATTCACTGTGTGAAAGTCATCACTGTGTTATATTTCTAATGCATATCGCTCATGCAATATTAACATTTAAATTATAACATTATCAAGTTTCCTGTCCTCACTGGAAGGGTCTCTTCTTTTTGGAACTGTGTAATACAAAATTGTTGTCCAGGGATCTAAAATGCACTCCACCCTGATAAATGTAGAGTCTGTTGAGCTCAATGCCTTTTGTGCAGGGGGTGGCAGCAAAGGAACACGCAGAAGCACACTTCAGCAAGCATCAGACAGTCACAAAGGAAAGCACAGGCTAAAGGGGAGAGTTAAGGATATGGAAAATCCTAATGCAAACCCACAGGGACACTTGTCTCTAACCCCTGACCTAGTATAACAGCTAAACTGGCAGTGAGCAATCCCAGCAACAAGGATCCAGCTACCAACAGAGAGCAATTTTACATGTCAGAAAAAAAGCCAACCATCCATCTTTTAACCTCTAAGAAAGTGAACCTGTAACTACACCAACAAAGGTTAAGAAGGCCTTCTATTTACTACCTCTTAACTCCCACACACACACCTGTACAAGAAAAACTAAAATTCTCTAATTTATAAAAACAAAATGGGATAGTAAGAATTCTCTTGCATTTGCACTGAGATACGTGTGATCTCCTACTCTAAGACTAAGGGTGATGTAAGTGGCCAGGATATAAATTTGGCTGATTTATCTCACCAGGAGTGGAATGCTCCCTTTCGCATCTCGACAGTGTTGTAATTTAAGGGTTGCAGGTCCTTTCACTAGTGAAGAAATATCAAAACTATAACACAAGTGAACGGCATAAGATTTGCTTTCATTTATTTAGTATATCAAATTTCACTCAATATTATTTTGTGCAATGACAAAATTAAAAGGACAACTAAACACCATTTCATGGGAAGACTAATCACCTGGGGCTGCATTTCTATACATACTTACCTAGGAGTAAGCATACATCTGAGTAACATAGAAACATAGAAACAGAGTGAGTCAGAAGGGGCCTCCTGGGCCATCCAGTCTGACCTCCGCCACCAGCCGGCTCCACCACGACATGACCACCATTTGCATGTCCAGTCTATCTTTGAACACCCGCACCGATGGGGCCTCAACGACCTCTCGTGGAAGCCCATTCCACACCGTTGGGGTCCTAACTGTCAGGAAGCGCTTCCTAGCATCCAAATGGAACCTTGGTTCCCTGAGCTTTGCTCTGTTGGAGCACGTCCTGCCCTCCTCTGCAGGGGAGAACAGGTCTCTACCCATCTCCGTGTGACATCCCCTCACATACCTGTATGTTGCCAACATATCCCCTCTGAGTTTCCTCTTCTCCAGGCTGAAGAGACCCAGTTCCCTCAGTCTTGCCTCATACCCCATCCCCAGCAAACCGGCCACCAACCTTATGGCCCTACGCTGCACTGACTCTAACCTGACTATATCCCTCCTGTAATGAGGGACCCAAAACTTAGCACAATACTCCAGTTGCAGGCACACCAGAGTCGTGTAGAGTGGTAGTAATACCTCTCTTGATCTAGAAGCCACACTTCTGGCTATGCAACCAAGGGTGGCGTTCGCCCTCTTGACCACCGCATCACACTGCTGACTCATGTTTAGCCTGCAGTCAACCAGCACCCCAAGGTCTCTTTCACAAGTGCTGTTCTCCAGCCACTTGTCACCTAACCTGTACTTATGACACCTATTCCTAGGCCCCAAGTGCAAGACCTTGCACTTATCCACATTGAACGCCATCCTGTTGTCTCCTGCCCACTTCCATAGTCTGTCCAGATCCTTTTGGATCTGGAGTACCTGCTCCTCAGTTGTGACCACTGCTCCAGTTTTAGTGTCGTCTGCGAATTTGATCAGCAGACTGTTCACCCCTTCTCCCATGTCATTAATGAAAAGATTAAACAGGATCGGCCACAGAACAGAGCCCTGGGGGACCCCGCTTGTCACTGGCCGCCATCCCGATGATTCCCCACTAATGGTTACCTTCTGCTTTCAGTCAGTCAACCATGCCCTAACCCACCGGACAGTGCTTTGGTGTATCCCAAAACTCCTCATTTTGTCCACCAGGATATCATGGGGCACTTTGTCAAAGGCCTTACTGAAATCCAGGTAAACCACATCCACTGCATCCCCTCCATCTAGCCATCTCGAAACCTTGTCATAGAATTCCACAAGGTTGGTCTGGCAGGACTTATTTTTGCGGAAGCCATGTTGTGTGGCTGTCAGCCTCCCTTCCCTATCTAGCATCATTAGATCTCTCCTCTATTATGAGCCTTTCCATTGTTTTTCCTCCAATGGACGTAAAGCTGTAATTCCCCATGTCCCTTCTACTACCCTTTTTGAAAATTGGGACCACTGATGCCACCCTCCAGTCCTCTGGAACTTCACCCGTTCTCCACAAGGCCTTAAAAATGGAGGCCAGCAGGCATGAGAGAACCCCTGCCAACTCTACTCTCAGGTGTAACCTGTCAGGGCCTGGCACCTTTGTAATGTCCAATGCCCTGAGGAGCCCCTCAACTTCAAGGGGGGTGATTCTAATCTGTGCCCCTAAGTCCCCAGCCCCATCTAATCTCCTATGCAAATATCCCCCATCCTGCTTTGGGGAGAACACAGAGGCAAAATAGTCGTTTAGCATCTGTGCCTGTTCCCTCATATCAGTCACTGGATCTCCTTCCTCCTTATTTAGTGGTCCCACCACTTGTCTTCCCTTCTTCTTCCTATTCACATGCTGAAAGAAGCCCTTTATGTTGCTCTTGATATTCTTGGCAAGTCTCAGCTCATAATCAGTCTTAGCCTTGCAAAGTATCCTTCTGCAACGGGCCTCCTCCTCCCGGTATACCCTTTTGTCTATTTGCCCCAGTACCCATTTCCTACGGAGGTTCCTCTTTCGTCTAATCCCTCTAACCACCTCCTTTCGCATCCATGGCGGCACTCTCCTCTGCCTCCCCACCTTACTGACTAGAGGTACCGTCAAGGCTTGTGCCTCCAAAACCTCCCTTTTGAGTGCCATCCACCCCCCCACCTCAACTCGCTTACCTTCCAGTAACCGATCCCAGGAGACTTTCCCCAGTGTGGCCTTCAGTTGGCCAAAGTTGGCCCTCTTGAAGTCCCAGCTTCTAGTGTTCGACCTGCTGCACATTCCCAGTCCCCCGATCTCAAAGCAAAGGATGGAGTGATCACTCGCATCCAGAGCTCCCCTAATCTGTACTTCATCTATCAGCTCCTCCCTATTGGTCAAGACCAAGTCAAAGATGTTTCCCCTCCTCGTCATCTCTCAGACTCGCTGTATGAGAAACCGTCCCTCTACAGCTTCAAGGAAGCGACGTGAACTGGCTGTCACCGCCGAGTGAGTCTCCCAACTAATATCCAGGAGATTGAAATCTCCCATAATTACTTTGTCTCTCCCCTGAGATATCCTTAGAATCTGGCCTCAGGATCTCAAATTGACCTGGAGGGCAATA